TCGAGCGCAGCGCCGCGGCGCGCGGGTCTGGGCGGCGGGCGTGCAGGGGCGGCGGCAGCTCTGGCTCGCTGGCGGCCGCGCTCCGGCTGCCCGGTCCGGCTCCCACCCGGCGGCGACGGAGGCGACGGTGAAGGCAGCGGGTCCCGGCCTCGGCTCTGCGCGCCCGCGCTCCCGGCACCGCAGCCAACAAGTTCGGAACGAGACTGACAGCTCGCTCGCCCATTCGTCACCCGCGCACCTGCATATGCATGAGGGGGCGGGCCGCGCCGCGGGGTGGGGCCGGGGGGGTCCGGGGGCGCCCCAGGCTTTAAAGGCGGCGGAGGGCGTCGCCTGCCAGCGCCCCGGCCTGGCGCGCGCCTCCCAGGGCGCCCGGGCGGCGGGGGCACGGGGCCTTGGGGTCAGTGCGGGCCGCTGGGGCCCGGCTCACACCTCCGCGTGAGTCGGCGAGGCGGGCGCCGGCGCCGCAAAGCGGCCTCCCTTCCTCCGCCTGGGCTCCCGCCGGGTGTCAGAAACCGGGGGTGGGGCGCCCCGAGGTTGCCGTGTGGTCCCCTCCCATCAGTGCGCCACCGCCGCGCTCCTCGCAGTCCTAGAGGAGATGCTGCCTCCTGCTGTGATCAGGGCTCGGCCCCCACGCGGGGTGGCGCGGCCCTGGGGCCAGAGCCGTGCCCAGCCCCTACTGCGCGCCCCCCACCTCCTCCGGGAATCTCCCCGGCTCCGCTCCGCTCCTGCCGCCTCCACGCCGGCTGCAGGGGGCGCTGCGCCCCTCCGACACCCCTGCCTTCCCCTCTGCGAGGCGCGCCGGTCATGCAGCCAGTCAACAAATGCTCCAGGGTGCAGACTGCTCAGCTCGGCGCTGGCTTCGGGTCGCCAGGCCATGCCCTCAGGAAGTGCTCAGGCCACATTCCCCGTTTCCCGCCTCTCGCCCCCCAAGCTCAGCCTGAAGGCTACCCCAAGAGAGGCCTCCCCCTGCTGCCCTGGTCACCAGGCTTCCACATCCTATCCTCTGCAGTCACTTCCTTGCCCTCTCCCTGGGTGACCTCGAGGCTCCGCCACAGGGTCAATACCAAGGGCACCTTGCCTCTCCTCCACTGAGCGCGGCCCTTTCCAAGGCTAGGGGTCACCTTGGTGGTTCAAGATCCCCACATGGACCAGAGGGGTCCTCAACCCATCCCCGTGATAACCGAGCTGCCTTCTCTCCCCCTAGCTCCTCTGGCAAATCTGTCCTGTGCCCGGAGCTGGGTGACAGTGTAGCCCCCCAGCCTGGAGCAAGTCACTGCCACCATGGGGCTGGGGCTGAGGGCTGAAAGAAGAGAGCTTTGGAGGCACAGGGCCTGTGAACACCCCATATGCAGGGTCTGCCTGCCTCATCCCTATTTAGCAGCCCCTCCAGGATCCAGGCCACAGGCTCAGCTGAAGGTCCCTAAAGGGGTGGGTCAGAGCGCCCCCATGCCCGCCTCAGCTGGCTCTGCTTACTCAGAATGCCCACCCCAAACCTAGTAGCAGGTAGGCTTCGTGGGGATTAAGACACAAGCCAGGATGAGGCCTGCACAAAGACCCCCACCAAATAAGAGAATCCAAGCTGTGTTCAGAGCCTTCCAGTCACTGCCTTCCGGTATGTGGGCAGTGATTACCGCCTACGGGGGGAGGGGCTCCCTGTGGAGATGCCACCCCTCCTGTGCTTTGGCCTAGGGGCAGGTACTCAGGTCCTCGAGAGAAGGAAACCCCAGGACAGAGGAGCCCCCTGCCCGGCTCCAGAGGCCCAGGGCTCCATCCCCACCTATGCCCACTGCCCCACTATGGTGGAGGAGGGGGTGCTGGGTGCCTCTGCTGGGCACTCGGCTAAGTGGTGAACAAGGGAGACTCCATCCCTGCACACCCTCAGGAGCTCCCGGCCCAGGAGTGGACAGAGGACTTAAACAAGTAATGCAGAATCTGGCATAGGGGACCGCCAGAGGGTGGACGGGCACAGGTCAGCCAGGCCAGGAGCTGAGAACAGCATGTGTCAAGGCCCTGGAGCCACAGAAGCGGGACCCTGGTAAGGGTCCTGACTACAACCCAAGGCCAGTGGTGACATGAGAGTCCCCCCGCTAAGACCCAACAGGGGTCACCGAAGCAACTGAGCTGAGTGGGCTGCAGTGACCTACATTTTCACAAAGACCCCTGGTTGTAGGGAGGGGACAGGCACAGGGGTGAGGTCAAGGATCTGCCATGGTGCAGGTGAGGGGAGGGGATGGTGCTGGGCTGAGGTGGGGGAATTCCAGCGTAGGAGGGAACCCAGGGAACAGCCCCTCCAGGTTCCCCTCCCTGGTCCAGCTCCCAGCTTTCCTGCTTTTGGCCAGCTGTGGGAGGAAAGGATTGAAGAGGCTGGCCACACAGCGGCTAGTGGCCCTGCGGCTGAACTTTGAGGGCTTGTGTGGGGCCTATTCCCGCAGCATCTGCATTTCAGCCAAGGCGCCCCCAGCTCAGAGCTGTCTCAGCGCGGAGGCCCCAGTGAGGGATGCGCACTCATCTCAAGATTCAAGCTCAACCCCGCAGGGGCCGCAACCTGCCTGGAACGCTGCCCACTGGCCTGCCCAGCCTCAGGGTAGACAGCCCAGCCCATCCTGCCAAGCAGGGGGATGGCGACCCCACTGCCTCCCTCCAGGTCCTTTGGAGTGAGACCTGCCTGGGTATCCGTGGCCCAGGGCAGGTGGGTGAGCATCAGGGCAGTACCAAGGGGTCAGTTCCTGCCCTCCTGCCCAGGGTGGCTCCCTCTCATCGTCTCCTTCTGGTAGCCACTACCTGAACCTCATGATGTCCACGAGAGGACCCAGGTCAGGAAGGTGGCCGCACCCGCCCTTGGGGAGGAGGGGGACATAGGAGGCATCGGAGAGGGGGTCCCTTTCCTGCAGGAATTTCTGCAGCCCTTGAGCCAAAAATGCCAGGCAGCTGGACCCTGGTTTGAGTTCCCAGAAGGCAGCAGTGGGAACTCTTGCCCCTTATACAGATTTGACAAAAAGCATTGGCTCCCTGGCGCTGCACCTTGCTGGGTGAGGGGCTGAGGCTCCAGCGGGGACCAGGGCTCCAGCCCCAACCCTCACCAGACCAAGCTCCCCAGTCTCTTCTAGAAAGGGACCTTGTCATTGTCCTGCGGCCCGCTGGACCACAGCACCCTCCAGCCTCCCAGAGCCACCCATCCCCCAGCCTGGAGGGCTCCCACTCTGAGGGGCTTGGCTGTGCTCTGAGGGGCTGGGGTGTGCTCTGAAGCGGGCAGTGCCCAGTTTGTGTGCAGAGGGCAAGGGTGCAGCCCCTCAGCCTGGCCAGGGGCTCTGGGCCCATAGGGCACTCCTGGGGACCAGGCTGGGGACAGGCTGCCAGGGGTTTGGACAGAGCCGGCGAGGTTCTGGAGTAAGCTGTGCTTCCGCCGGGTCCTGCAGTGCTAAATATAGCAGACAGGGAGGGGAGTTTCCGGTTACAACCCCCTCTCCAGTGCTGGGAAATCAATGCCAGCTCCATTAGGCCTGGCAGCGCTGCCTGCTGACCCACCCATCAGGCTTCGGAGCAGAGTGAGGGGCTGGACTGCACCCAGGTCCGGGTGCCCTGTCACCTGTCCCCTCAGTGCTTTGGGGGCCAGACCCACCTGGTGCCTGCGAGAGGTCCCTCTGAGACAGTGGGCAGCCTCTGCCGGTCAGCGCGGAGGGCCCGCTGCACTCTCATGGGGTCACCAGGCAGGCTGCTGGTAAGGGCAGCACAGCAGGGCTGCTGTGGGTCAGGCAGAGCTCCTGTCCTGTGAACATACTGCTGCGGCCTCATCTGGGTAGAGGGAAGCTGAGGCTGGCCAAGACCCACGCACCCATACGTGACCGCCTCTCCCAGGCACACACCTCATACCAGACAGCCCCTCTGCGGCAGCCCTGTCGCTGGCCTTGCTGATGCAGACAGCCCCTCTACGGCAGCCCTGTCACTGGCCTTGCTGATGCCCACAGGGTTCCACCTGCGCCACAGTCAGCATTTGCATACAGGTGGCACTGCTTTTGTGGGCCCCTGAGGCACAGCCTCCTCAGGACAGCCTCCAATGCCAGGCTGCCTGGCACTGTGCTGGATGACAACAGGGGGTCAGTCCCCACCTCCCCACCCAGGGTGCCCCCCTGCAGGGTACTGAGGCCCCCTTCACCTCACAGTCCCCTTCTCCACCTTCCTGGGAGCCAGAGCCTGGACCTAATGATGTCCAGGAGAGGATCCTGCCCAAGACTGATGGCCCAGCAGTGCCCTCAAATGCCCACAACCAGTGCCAACACAGCCATTTAGCTGTGGAGCCCTTCCTGTGCACCTGTGGCCCAGGAAGCAGACCAGGCCAGTGGGGTTCCTGCCCCACAAGCATTGTGGGCACCTGGGAAGCAGCTCTGAGCTGCACGCACCTCCCACAGCTCCACCCTCAGGACATGTCAGAAGGCAAGGCCAGGGCATACAGGCCAGAGATGCTCAGGGGCCAGTAGAGCCTGGTGCTGGGCGGCCCAGGCTGAGGCCGTGCTCCGGGACCAGGATCGGGTTAGCACCAGGAACCTGGCCCATGTCAAGGAGAACACTGGCCCTGTGTCCCCACCCTGTGTGCCACCCCCTCCTCTGGGGGCCTGCAGACATTTCTGCATACCCCACAGGCCGAGGAAGGTCCCCTGGAAAACTTCCAAGGTCGGGGGTGCATGGACAGCTACTGGGGCCCCCGACATGGGGCAGCTTTGGCTCCAGGCTCCTGTGGAGTGGCTCTAGCCCAGCTCATCAGGGTGGGGACCGCTCACTTGCCCCAGGAGCAGGCAGCGCACTTTCCCTGCAGTGAGCAGCCTGCAGTGCTGCCTGCCCCATCCCGACACCCGAGGACTGGCTCAGCCACCACTCCTGTGAGTACAGCTCACGCTGCAGCCCCGTGACCAGCAGGCCCACCTCCGGGCCTGCCATGCCACCCTCCATGAGTCCCAGACCCCACCCCTCGTAGTTCCAAGAGAAGGCACAGCCTGGCCCTGCCCATGGCATCCCCAGGCCTGTCCTCAGCCCCACAGCAGCCACTTGCATGGCCTGCCACCAGTTGCTCCTGCTACAGGAGAGCTTGCCGTGTCCCGAGAGCCATCTCAGGTCAGGGTCGCTGCTCGCCGCCCCTTCCCCAGTCCTCTCCAAGGCCCTGGTCACAGCTCAGAACCAGCAGGCAGAGGCTGGAGCTATGTAAGCCTTTATTGGGTCTGCAGAGTGTAGGGTAAGTGGCCAAGACTGGCCTCTGTCTAGAACCCTGGATCTCACTGGAGATCCAGGTTGGGGGCCACCTGGCTGAGGAACCACGAGACACCAAAGATGACGCCGAGGGTCTTCGGGATGTCCGGGTTGTCTGCAAAGGCCTGGGCGCCTTCCAGCGGCAGGTGCACCACCTCAATGAGCTCACCTTCCTCTGCCAGGCCCCCACCTGGACCACTACGCTGGGCGTCTGTCACCTCTGTGTAGAACATGGTCTGTCTGGAGCCAGTCAGTCCCACTCCAGACCTACGGGTTGAGACAGGGTCTGCTGAGTCGCCCTGCTGGCCCCCTGGCCCTTCTACCACCCTCCGACTCACCCTCTCTACTCTGCTCCCTCCAGCCCTCCAGTAGGCAGGACTGTGGGATGCCTTCTCCCACCGGATGCCCACCTGGTGTGCACGCCTGTGGCCCCTCCACCAGCAGGGCATCCCTTCCCTGATCAGGTTGTACTCGCCAGGTGGGGAGGGTGTTGTAGATGTGATTAAGGACCCTAAGCAGTGACTTGAGCTCATCAAAAGGGAGAGCATCCTAGGCAGGCATGGCCCAATCAGGAAGCCCTCCGGAGAGTGTTTCAACGCCAGAGAGGGAGAAATTCGGACCTGTCCTGCTGGCCCTGAAGAGGAAGCAACCGCCATGCTGGGAGGGGCCAACAGCCAGCAGAGGTGTGGGACCCAGTTGCCAGCCACCAGGACGTGAATTCTGCCATAACCATGTGGGCCAAGGATACCCCATGCCCCCATGAGATTGCAGGTCCGGCGGACAACCTACCTGCCACCTGTCAAGGCTGAGCAGAAGACCCCAGCCCTGTATGCAGCCCCCAACCACAGACACCCTGAGGCTGTTCCCGGTGTTGTCTGGAGCCCCTCAGTCTGTGGCCGGCTGCAGAGGCCCATGCCAGACCCCAGCCCATACCTGGGGACACAGGCTGGCTGGGAAGCAGGGACAAACCCAGCAGGCTGGGAATGGCCTTCCCACAAGGGTTCCCCACCAGGAACCCACAGGACACAAGTTTCAAACTAGGGACAGCATGCATTGACCCCCCCCCGCAGCATGGCAGAGTGGGGTGGGGTGGCAGCGAGGTCCCCAGGATCAGGCCCAGTGGCCCAGGCTGGGGAGGGGTGAGACGGAGCCCCCTCCCTCAGTGGGCAGTGGCCAGAAGGGGGCTGCTGGCAGCCAGGAGGGGTCAGGCACCAAGGAAAGCTGCCTGGACTGGCGTGTGTGGAGGGAGACCACAGGCTGGGAGGACAGGATGGCAGAGGGACCAGGCTGCATTCTGGAACAGGACGGGGAAAGCGAGGTGTGGATCTGGGGAGAAACGGGACTGAGGGGCATCTGGGAAGATGACCAGGGGGTGGGGGAGCCCTGGCTCGCCCCAGGAGGGGCTGTCGGGTACCATGAACCGAGGCCAGCCAGAGGCCTGCAGGGTGGAGGCCGCCCTCTGAGATGGGCCCAACATGCATGGGCAGGGAACAGAACTGGGGGCTTCCATGCCCCACCCCCAAGGCCTCCCCATCCCAGACTGACCTTACCCAGCTGCTTCCTTGCCCTCTAGCCCCTCACCTCCCGCAGACCCCTTCCTGATGGCCCATTTCCGGTGGCGGCCACAGCTGCACCTCTGGGGGAAGTGGCGGGTCTGGGGTTTCCAGCCCCGGTTTCCGCTGGCTTATGAAGGAGACAGGCCCGGCCCTTGGCCCGGGCTGAGAGGAATCTACCAGCCAGGCTGGGCAATGCCTCCCCCACCCCAGGGCACGTTCCAACTTCACTCCATCACGCCCCAAGCTGACTGCCTCCCCGGGCCTTGTCCTTTGCAGCGGCAGGTAAGAGGCCTGGCTCACCTCCAGAATCAGACACAGGAGCCACGGGCCCTGCCACAGGGTGGGCGAACTTTGCTGTCAGTCCAGCCCCCCATCAGGCCCTCAAAGACAGACGCCCTGACCCCTAGTCGGCCGCATCTCCAGTCCTGCGTCCCTGAAGCCACGGCCTGCTCTTCACAATGCAAGTCTAAGCAGGATGCCCACTTCCCAGAGCCCTCCTTGGCTCCCCAGCACCCTCACAATCAGGCTGTGGCCCAGAGCTTGTGCCAGTAGAACCACCGCGGCCAGGGCTGCTTCACCACTTGCCCTGAGAGCCTATGCCGTGCAGCCCCTCTGCCCGGATTCTGCCCAGGCCCACCTCCTCCAGGGGGACCAAGGGGACTCCAACCCCTCCCATGCCTCCCAGCTGTGCTCAGTACCACGGGCCAGGGAGGTGGAGGCACAGTGGGCATGGCCGGCCACGGGGTGTACACCTGCAGAAAACGAAGGCCCATCCTTCACACCCAAGTCCACCCTTCGGCGTGGAAATTCTGTTTTGCTGAGACGGAGTTTCACTCTTGTTGCCCAGGCTAGAGTGCGATGGCCCAATCTCGGCTCACCGCAGCCTCCGCCTCTGGGTTCAAGTGATTCTCCTGCCTCAGCCTCCTAAGTAGCTGGAATTATAGGCTCCTGCCAGCACACCTGGCTAATTTTGTATTTTTAGCAGAGACAGGGTTTCTCCATGTTGGTCAGGCTGGTCTCGTACTCCTGACCTCAGGTGATCCGCCTGCCTTGGCCTCCGAAAGTGCTGGGATTACAGGAGTGAGCCACCGTGCCTGGCCCAGCGTGGAAATGCTGCCTTTAACTTGGAGTCCACCTACCCAGGCAGGAACACACCCAGGTGAAGTCCTTGAGGCTGCTGAGGCGGGAGGGCCGCAGGTTCAACCCTGAGTGGCCCATGTGCCGGGCTGACAGGCTCAGAGACTTCTGGTGCTTCTCCCAGTGGAGTGGGCCCTAGCCTCTGGAGGAGGTTGTGGAGGCTGGTGCTCAGCTGGTGGGGCTGGGGGGACTCTGTGACACCCTCCTCCTTCCCCAAGACCTCAGCTGGAGTCAGGAGCCCATCGTAGTGTCCCTGGGGAAGTGGATGGGCTTCATCCCAACATCTTGTCCTGGGAAGGCAACCCCAGCTGGCAGGCCTTATGGGGCAGGAGTTGGCGCCTCGACTTTGGTGGGGTCACGTCCCAAAGCACAGGCTCCAGGCCTTGCCTCTTCCCCAGGAGAGCTGGAGCCACCCCTTCTCCAGCCCAGGACACAGCTTCTCCCTCATTCCTGAGCCACCCTCTGAGAACAGAGCTGTGACTCACCCCCACCCCCAGCACCCGGTCTTAATCCTACAGGAAGTAGAGGCACCTGTCAGCAGCAGCTGCCACCCGGCCTGCCCCACACGGCTGGGGGCCGCGGGCTGGAGGCATGGGGCTGAGACGCTCCAGAGAGCCCCAAGAGCCCAGGTTCCGGCCTGGCTTAGGATCTAAGGCGCGCTCTGTCCAACCCTCCCCTAATCCCATGTTGAAAAACAAGGAGAAATCCATCCTGCTTGCACACTCCCAGGGACGGGGCCCTCACCCTCTCCCAGAAAGCCTCTCCCGCCTCCTGAGCCACACCACAGACCTGAGGGCCTGGTCCCACTCACCAGTATGTGGCGACCCGGCGCAGATCAGACGGGGCCAAGTGGTAGCCACACTCCTCCCAAGCCTCCTTGCAAGCCACTTCCTCCAGCGAGAGCCCAGGCTGGTCCACAAGGCCGGCACACAGCTCAACTGTCACCCCCGCTGAGCCGGGCAGGGCTGGCTGCAGCTCCCGGGGCCTGTCCTGGTCTACAGCTGCTAGGGACCCTGGGAAGTGGCGCTCCACCTCGCCCGCATACACAGCTGCGTGGGAGGAAGCCAGACTATGCTCACAGCCACGTGGTGGCCACCTCCAAGTCACCCGTGCAGCCAGGCCCCCTCACAGGGCCTCAGCTTCCCCTGGAGCCCCCTCCCACATCTATATTCAGACCCTCAGGATCACAGGGACCTGAAGGTGACCCTGCAGATCCCCTTCCCACCCCAGCTGGCCTCACCTGGCCGGAACTGCTTCACCAACACCAGACTCCTCCGAGAAGAATTGAATAAGAGAACGGTCACGCTGTGTACGGTGGGAGGGGCTCAGCACAGAAGCACTCCACTGGCCCTGCTTGGGGCCCTGCCTCCCACCTTTCTGTTCCCAGCATGGCCATCCCACCTCCTTGCCAGCAGCCCAGGGAGGTCAGGCCCCTTGCTCAGATAGCATGGCTGAGGCCCAGGCAGGACAAGAGCTTTCCAGGGTCACAGTCCGGCCAGGACCCAGACCTGCTGTATTCCAGCTGGCAGGATGGGAGGCAGGGGGCAGGGAAGGACACACGGGCAGCTGAGTAGGTCAGGGTGCTAGCAGCTGCGGCCGGGTGACTGACAGGACGTTTGGCCCTCACTGACCAGCTGCCCACCAGCCACACTCCTCGACCCACGTCGCCATCCAGCCCAGACCCTGGATGCTAGGGGCAAAGGCTCCAGGATGACCTCTCCCTGCCCTGAGAGGACTTGCCCACCATCACAGTCCTGGTGGCCTGAGCTAAGACCGGACTCAGCCCCCAGGCCTCAGGCTGACCCCTCCGGGACAGGAAACCCAGAGGCCGGGCAGAGAGAAGGGACTTTTGGAGCCCCGCAGGGAACAGAAACGTCAGGGAGGAGAGGGCCCCTTCCCCCTGGGCCCAGTGTTCCCGTGGACATCAGTCTGGGGCTTCCCCAGTGGCTGGGCTGGGCCAGGCTCTCACCTGTCATGCGTCTTCATGAAGTCCCAGGACTTCTGGGCACCGTTCTAGAAGAGGCAGATCAGCGGTTACAATGTGCCAGGATGGGCAGAGGTGCTTGGGGAACCAAGGAGGCCACAGACCCGCCGCACCCACTCCAAACCAGGGAGATCGGCTCATGGCCTGGGCCCACAGGACCCAGGAGCTGCAGCTCCCGTGGGCAGAGGAGCAAGCAGCCTGGGAGGGGCAGGGAGGTCGAGGACAGCCTAATACCCTAGGAGGCAGAAGACCAGGGCAAAAGGCAGGGAAGGTGTCCAGGCACCCCATGAAACACTGCCCAGCACAGACCGGGCACAAGGGGCTGCAGAGAGACGCACACCAAGTATAGGAAGGCTCATGGAGGCTCAGGGAGGCTCAGAGAGGCAGGCATGACCCCCTCACAGCAGGGCAGGGAGGGCCCCACAGGCAGAGGAGAGATCAGGTTTTCCTGCTGAAGCTTCCTTGGGCCACTGAACAGGGGGAGACGGGAGGGCAGGAGGGGCCAGCACCAGGAGTGGATGGGGCAGGCTGGCGCCCCAGCCAGGTAGGAGATGGCACTGCAGGACTCTGTGACTGTTGTGATGGTGACCGGGCTGGGCCCCGCCTCCCACCCTCCCATCCCCAGTTTCTGGCCGTGGCTCTCCCACATACCCTGTGGTCCTGTTCTCCTGTGGCCACCCTCCACCTTCCCCCTCCACACGCTGGGCACGCCGCCCTGGCAGGCCCCTGCACCCTGGGTGGGCAGGTGTGTGGGCTGGGCCTGCTAGGGGAGGCTGGAACTGACGGATTCTGAGATGCACTCCCATCCTGGGGGCTGGGCCTGGGGTCCCACGGGGTCCCATCTCCGGCAAGCTCAGCCCGTCTGCCACTCCGAGGCCCAGGTGAGCTGCTCATCCCACCCTGGGGGCTCTGCCCAGGCTGTGAAATGGACAGAGCCTGAGCGGCAGAGACACAGGAAGTGCAGCCAGGACTGCAGAAGAGGGAAGAAGCCTTCCTGAGGACTTCCTGGAAGAGGTGACGGAAGTGAGGGAAGGGATTCTGGGCAGGCAGAGGCACAGAGGCCCTCTGAGCTTGGCTGACAGGCAAAGGCGTCCTGGGAGGAAAGTGCCCATTTCCAAGGGAAGGGAGGGCCAGTGTCCCGCGCAGGTCAGGATGCCCAAGAGGCCATGGGGTACCACTCCCGGGAGGCGAGCCCAGGCCTGCCTGACATCCAGCCACCCCAGAGCCAGCCACCCAGCCAGGGCAGGCTTCAGGGAAGCCCCCTGCCCACAGCCTGCCATGTGCCTGCTATGCCCATGCCCCCTCCCCACCACTGCTTCCCCCTGAGTAACATCACCCCATGCAGGTCTCAAGGACCCTCTCAGCTCAAGGTCAAAAGTGTGTCAGACCCTTAGGTCCAGCCAGGTCAAGGTGCAGGAAGGTTCAGGGAGGCCACTGAGGCCTGGGAAAGAGGGGCAGGGCTGGGTGCAAACAAAGCCCCATCACCTCAGAGCCATGGGGGTCCCCCGTCTTTGGTCTGCCTGACATCACAGGCCTCCCCTGGCTGGATGCAGCAAAAAGCTGAGGGCTGCAGCTGTCCCTGGGTGGCGGCCAAGGTCCAACCCAATGTCCCTTGGCCCTGAGAAGACGCCGCCCAGCCTGAGCCTGCATCCGTGTCCACCACAGCCATGGCCCACACCAGCTCAGCTCTGGTTACCAGAGCCCCTCAGCAGAGCTGTGCCAGTGGGCTGCCCGCTGAGGCTGCGAGGGCTGCCCTGAGCGCTTCACAGGAAGTGAGGGAGAGAGTGCTGCCACCAGGGCCACAGAGGGCACCTGCCTGGGCTGCCCTGTACCTGCTGCCTGAGGCCCAGCCCTGTGGGGACTGTGCAGCCACAAGCAGGCATCCCATGTGGCCATCAGGGAAAAGGGCAGTGACCCCATGTCCCCACCTGCTGTACCTCGACTGATCCCAGCTGCCCCCCGCCAGCACCACCAGCTTAGCTTTGCCTTGGGGAGAGCCAACAGGACTCCCGCCACAGGGAAAGTGAGGGGCACAGGGTCTCTCTCAGGCTGGGGGCTAAGAGGGCTTCACAAGGATGGTGAGGGGCAGCATCCTGGATGTGATGGGGGGGACAGGATGCCCCCTGAGGGAGGCAGGCAAGCAGAGGGGCACGGCGACCTGGACCACCTGACCTGATAAGAGAGGCTGGGGGTGCTGGACTGACTGTGGCCAGGAAGGTAGTCTTTGCCTAAATGGCATGCAGGAGCTCTGGCAGAGGGGAGATCTGCTGGGGGCAGGCGGGCATGCAAGCAAAAGGTGGGGCCCGAACCGGACAGGGCTGGGCTTAGAGGAAGACAGGCTGGGACTCAGTGATCCACTGGATGTGGGAAGAGGATGGCAGTAGCTCCTTCACCCAACACATATGCCTCATGCCTGTAATCCCCATGCTTTCAGAGGCCAAGAGTTCGAGGCCAGGAGTTCAAGACCAGCTTGGGCAGCAGTGAGACCTCGTCTCTACAAAAAAATTTAAAAATCAGCCGGGTGTGGTGGTGTGCACCTGTGGTCCCAGCTACCGGGGCAGGGGCTGAGGCAGGAGGATCGCTTGAGCCCAGGAGGTTGAGGCTACAGTGAGCTGTGATCATGCCACTGCACTCCAGCCTGGGAGACAGAGCAAGACCCTGTCTCAAAAACAAAACAAAACAAAATATTCCTTGTGAACCTACCATGTGCCTGGTGCCAAGTGAGGCAACACAGCCCCTCGTGTCGGGGCCTGGCATGGGAGAATATGACACCCTAGGAGGTGGGGAAGGCTGAGCTTAGGCAGATGGAGACTCCAAGGAGGTGCCCTCCCTGGAAAAAACCCCAAGGAGGAAGCCCACTTTGAGACTCGCTCAAATTCTCACTCGGCTCCTTCTCCCACCTCCCTGCTTCCACCCTCTGCACTCCTTGCTCCTTCCTCCTCGGCCCAGCTATCTCCTCCTTCAAGTTGTAGCATGAAAGCCACCATTTCCAGGAAGCCTTCCCTGATCCCCAGGGCAACCAAGGAGTCCCACTGCCAAAAGGGTCGGATTCCGGGGACGGGAAGGATAGGGCCCAGCAATGCTTCCTTGAAAGGATGAGTGGTGTCCCCTCAGATGTCCCTCCTGCGGCCCCTCCCCGGCCTGGGGGCTCACTGGGTCGGGGAACCCGCGATCCGGCGGGCAGAGAAGGGGCCGACCCGGAGCTCGGCGGGAGTCGGGGGCGGGGCTCCGGGGCGGGGCCCGCAGCGCAGAAGGCGGTGGGCGGGACGCGGGTCGTGGGCTGGGCCGCCGGCGGGGACGCGGAGGGCGCGGGGACGCGGGCTCACCTGGCGGTAATGCAGCGTGAGCGGCCGCAGGTAGGGTGAGGCGGCGCAGCGGCCCACGGACGCTCCCTCGATGCGGTCCATGGCGGCGCCAGGACAGGCGGGGGTCCCGACCGCAGTGGGGACCAACCCGGGGCAGCGCCCTGGCAGGACGGGAGCTTTCGGGCGGGCGCGTGACGGCGGCTCTGAGCATGCTCCGTGGGTGCGCGGGGCGGGGCGGCCGAGGTGGGCGGGGCTCGCAGGTGCCACCTGTCGGGTGCTGCGCGCCTGGGGGCGCCGGGTCGCCGCGGTGCCAGGGGAGCCGCGCAGGCACGTGGGCGTCGCGCAGAGGAAGGACTGGCTGGGTCGACCCCGGCCGCCGGGCGGGGCCAGCCGGACCGGGGTACAGTGCTTGGATGGGACTCGGGACCTCTTGGCTGGGGGAGGGAGGGCCTGGAGGTGGTTGGAGCCAAGAGCCTGCCCGTTTGGGGTGCCTCTGGGGATGAACCACAACCCTGAGATTAAGTTACTCCAGGGGTCCGCGGGCGGGGCCGGGGGCGGAGCAGCGCCCCAGGGAGGGAGGGACTGGGCCCAGGAAGAGAGTCACGGGAGACCAGAGAGAGGGCCCTGGAAAGAAGCCAGGGGAGAGGAGAGTGGGGCGCGGGAGGGGCCAAAGCTTGGGCCAAGGGGGCTTCCCCTCGAGGTTGCTGATGTCCAGGGTGGCTGGGAGCTGCCACGCTCTCTCTGCAGCTGTCCCTCCTCCACTCAAAAGCCAGCTGCCCTTCCCTCCTCCTGCAAGTTCTACCTTGATGACGGTCCTTCCTGGGTGTGGAAGGGTCCCAGGCAGCTGCAGTTCTTCCTTGGGCATGGATTCCAAAGACCCCCTCCAAATGCCACCACGGCCTCCACAGGGGCTGGAAACAATATTGAGGCAAGGGAGCTAAGGCCCACACTGGCCCTGAACCCTGACCTGCACCTGCTTTCTGAACTATGGCCCAGGGGAACAGGCTCAGGGTGGACTGGCCATGTGGGCTTGAAATAGACTCCCAGATCCTTGTTCACTATTGCTGTGTAACGAAACACTCCAAAGCTGAATGCCTTAAAGTGCCCCTTTATTGCCTGGCCTATGGATCGCCCAGCTCAGCCAGGCAGCCCTGCCTTGGGGTCTCTCTGCAGTTGTAATCAGGTGGCAGCTGGGGCTGGAGTCGTCTGAAGGCCAAACGGGGTGGACCGTCCAGGATGGCCTCTTCACCCCTGGCCCTCAGTTGGGTGGCTGGAACAGCCAGGGCCAGCTGGCCTCCCTTGTGGCTGGTGTGGGCTTCCCCGAAGCCTGGTGGTCTCAGGGTAGTCGGATTCTCCCGTAGCAGCTGGCTCCTTCCAGAGCATGTTCACCAGGCCAGGCCAAGCTGCCAGGCTTTGTGTGACCTGGCCTCAGATGTCATATGGTGTCATTCCTACTGCATCCTGTGGGTCAGAAAGTCCTGGGCCACCCGCAGATTCCAGGGAAGGGGTATCACCAGGTGGGAACGCTGGGGAACATGGTCATGAAGCCAGCATCCAAGTCCAGCTGTCACCGCCCCAGTAGCTCTACAGGGGCCTGTGTCTCCCTGCTTTAGCCATTCCTCCTGGTGTCCCAGAAGCCAGAGTTTACCCACCAGAGCACCCAGCCCAGAAGCTGGCCCCACCCCACCCCACAGCCAGGCAGGCCTCTTCCTCTGGTGCACGAGGGGCCCAGGGTAAGTGCGCATCTTCGCATGTCCCGTGCAGTCCCCTTCCTGCCTGTGATTGTGTGGAAAATGAGGATGAGTCTCAGCTTCCAGCAGCAGCAGCCCTGGGGCAGGCAGAGGCAACAGCAGCCCCATCAAGGAGCCCCTGGGAGAGCCAGCAGCTCTACAGAGCACCGTGCTCCTCAGACTCACTCAGGTCGAGGTGCCCGGCAGTGCAGATTGCAGAGCTGAGGTGCATGAAAATATCAGCAAGGTGCCTGCTGTGGGACGCAGCCTGGTGGCTCCTCAAAAAGTTAAGCGTAGAATTATCCTGTGGTCCAGCAACTGTCTTCCTGGGTGCCTACCCAAAGGAGTTGAAAACAGACACTCAGACAGATGCTTGTTCACAACAGCCAAAGGGAAGAACAACACAAGCATCCGTTGCCAGGTGAATGGATCCACAAAATGCAGTGTAGACGTGTAAGGTAACATGACTCAGCCATGAGGAGAGAAATTCCCACACAGGCTACAGTGTGGATGACCTTGAGACATTATGCTCAGCAAAAGAAGCCAGACACAAAGGCCACGCCTTCCACGATTTTGTGTATATGGAATGTCCAGGCCGGGCGCGGTGGCTCACACCTGTAATCCCAGCACTTTGGGAGGCCGAGGCAGGCAGATCACATGATGTCAAGAGTTCGAGACCAGCCTGGCCAACATGGTGAAACCCTGTCTCTACTAAAAATACAAAAATTAGCCAGCCGTGGTGGTGCGCACCTGTAATCCCAGCTACTCGGGAGGCTGAGACACGAGAATCGCTTACACCCAGAAGGCAGAGCTTGCAGTGAACTGAGATCTCGCCACTGCACTCCAGCCTGGGTGACACAGCAAGACTCCATCTTGAAAAAGAGAGAGAGAGAGAAAGAGAGAGGAGAGAGAGAGAGAAAGAAAGAAAAGAGGCCGGGCGCGGTGGCTCAAGCCTGTGGTCCCAGCACTTTGGCCGAGACGGGCGACACTGCACTCCAGTCTGGCCGACAGAGCGAGACTCCATCTCAAAAAAAAAAAAGACAAGAAAAGAAAGAGAGAGAGAAAGAAGGAAGGAAGGAAGGAAGAAAAGAAAAGAGAAAAAAGAAAGAAAGAAGGAAACGTCCAGAACAGGTAAATCCATGAGACAGAAAAGCAGCTGCGGGCTGGTGGAGCTGAGGGCAGGGAGAATGAAGAATGCTGACTAATGGATGCTGGGTTTCCTTTCCTTTTGGGGTGAAGAAAGCGTTCTGGAACTAAGTGCTGGTGGTCGCACAACAATGTGAATGTACTACATGGCACTCGGTGTGCACTGTGAAGTGGTTAATGTTCTGTGAATTTCAGTTCCATTTTAAACAAATTTTATTTAGAGACAGGGGCTCATTATGTGGCTTAGGCTGGACTTGAACTCCTGGCCCCAAGCAATTCCCCCACCTCGGCCTGCTGAGTAGCTGGGACTACAGGTTCACACTACCATGCCTGGCTCGGTTCAATTTTTTGTTTTTTAAAAAGGAAAAACCCATGTCACTGAGGCTGTTCAGGAACATTCCACTCTGTCTATGACCATAGGGCCACTGCCCACCCGTGGAGCTGAGGACAGGGCAAGCGAGACCTGCTGTCCCTCCTCACGAGATGGAAAGGGAGACAAGGCAGAAGCAGCCCAGACACTTTACCAGTTCCTTCTGTGCACTGGGGTGGCTCAAACAGGGGGTTCGGGACAGGCCTGATGTCACAAGGAGTTAGGACAGGCATGCCAATAGGCAGAGGACAGCCTCCCTGAGGACACGACACTCCCCAGAAACCCGAAGATCCAAGTCAGGAGAAAGGAAGCTGTCCTGGCAGGAGGAGACCGAGGCCGGAAGAGGCGTCATGGCCCTGGGGGCAGTTCCCTTGGCCTGTGTTTGGCACATCCCCTGGGGCACTGGGAGTCTTGGAGGGGTTGGGCAGGGCAGGTGGTCAGATGCCCCTCTGGGAGGTCACTACCCCTGTGGGAGGTCACCGAGACTGCCTGGGGCCAGGGGAGGAGGGGACTGGTCTGAGGGCCTTTGGCTGTCCAGAGCGGTGGCTGTGCAGAGGGTGGCTTTGGTCCCCATGGAAGTGGGTGCAGGAGGAGGTGGAGGAGGAGCTTGGTTTGGGGAGGGGCTGCAGGAGGGGGAATGAGAGGACTCAGTGTGGCCAGGTGGCCTGAGTCACGGTGGAGAGCTCTGAAAAGCCACCTCTGGCTTTGGCAGTGTGGGGGCTTCGGAGACCCTGCTGAGTGTAGTGGCAGAGGCCCCTGCAGACGCCCTGTAGCAGGGCCAGAGGGCACCAGCGTCAGCTCCCCAGGGCTGCCAAGACAAACCACGGCTAACCCAGCAGCTGGGAACAGCACAGCCATGGCCTTCCAGCCCTGGGGGATGAGTGTCCAAAATGCATCCCGCCGGGCGAGGGTCAAGGGTCACAGGGCGGCTCCTTCTGTGGGCTCCAGGGGAAGATCCATTCCTTGTCCTCTCCAGCTTCCCGAGGTGCCCCCGGCCCCCTCCTCACCTTCCAGGCCAGCAGAGTGCCCCTCCGTCCTCTCTCTGACTCTGCTGCCATCCTCCATCTCCACCTCCACCCTCCTGTTGCCTTTTCTGAGGCCCTTGTGACCACATGTAGGGCCCCCCAGGTCACCCAGGACCATCTTCCCGTCTTGGGTCCTTCTGTAGTCAAACCTGCTAAGTCCCCTTTGCCACCGAAGCTCCATACTTGCGGGTTCTGGGGATCCAGGTTTGGACTCTGGGGAGGATGCATCGGGAGGGCATCACCACCACAGCAGGACCCTGTGGCACCAGGATCTCCACAGCAGGACCCTGTGGCACCAGGATCTGCGGCCTGGGGCCTTGCCTTGAAGCAAGTGGGCCGGTTTCTTGCAGGACACCGAGGAGATTGCTGTGGGCTTCTGTCCTTCCTATGTAAGGGGAGTGCTAAGGATGAGATGGGAGGGGAGGGAGGCAAAGTGGCCTCGTTGGCAGGGAGCTTGGGTGCGGGCCCCGAGGGAGCCTGGGGAGCAAGGCTTCCTGGTGACGCCCGGCTGGGGGATGCTCCTGGGCCATGCTGGATGCAGGGCAGGTACAAGGGGGACCACTGGGCTCCTCCAGGGCTCAGCTCCTTCCCAGTAAGGTCACAGGCAGCAAGTGGGTCAGAGAGTTGAGGACGATGAACAGGGAGCTCCAGACATGACAGAGCCCAGGTGAGGGGCTGGGGGCTGGGGAGGACATGGGGAGCCAGGGGCAGGAGGGACGTAGGGGAGCCGGGGGCGGGGAGTCCGAGGTAAGTGCAGAGGGAGTGTCCCAAGAGAAGCTGGGTTGAGGGGAAGTTGGAGGAGGGTCAGGATGGGGGGTCAGGAGGTCTGGGGTGTGGGCACGGAAGTCCACTTGGTATGGGCAGGAGTTGGGTGCAGAGTGCTCATAAGTGAGCAGAGTGGCAGGCTCCAGGACTGGCCGCGGGGGGGTAAGGG